CAAATCTGTTCTTCAGATGATCTCCAAATTCAGGTGGGATAAAGCTTGAATTCACGAGGCCCTCCGCGTGAGAGAGATGAGGCTTTCGGCTCCTTGCAGTTAAACAGCCTTGGAGTCTGGCGCATTAACCCACAGTACCACACCAGAACTCCGAATCTTGCCGCTCCAAGATCTCACTGCCGCTCTAAGATCTCGCTGAATCTTAGGCATTAGTAAGCTGAAATGGACTGGTATCGGTCATTTTGAATCTGACAACCACATAGTTTACTATGCCAGAAATGTCAGATTGAAGAGGAATGGTGTTGCATTCATTGTCAAAAATAACATATCCAGATCTTCATGAGGTACAACACTGTCTGTGATAGGATAATATCCATGTGCCTACAGGGAAGACCAGTTAACACCACTATTATTCAAATAATACTCACTACTAAAGCTAGTGAGGATTAAACAGATGAATTCTACCAACTTCTTCAATGTGAAATTGATAAAACATGCAATCAAGATGTATTCATCTTTACTGATGATTGGAATGCACAGGTTGGGAACAAACAGGAAGGATCATTAGTCAGAAAATATGGCCCTGGTGACAGAAATGATGCTGGAGATCGCAAGATAGAATTCTGCAAAATCAATGATTTGTTCATTACAACTACCTTTAGACAGCATAATAGATGATTATACACATGGACCTCACCAGATGGAATACACAGAAATCAACCTAACTACATCTGTGGAAAGAGATGGTGGAAAGCTCCATATCATCAGTCAAAACAAAACCAGGGAAAATTGTGGAACACACCAAAATAGCTCATATGCAAATTCAAACTAAAGCTGAAAAAAATGAAAACAAGTCCACAAGAGGCAAAATATGACTTTGAATATATCCCACCTGAATACAGAGATCATCTAATCTAAATAACAGATTTGATACAGTAGACACTAAATACCGAAGACCAGAAGAGTGTGGGATGACATCAAGAACATCATACATGAAGAAAGCAAAAAATCATTAAGGCAAGAACAAAGGAAACGATCAAAATGGATGTCAGAAGAGACACTGAAACTTGCTCTCCAGTGTAGAGATGCTAAAGCAAATGGAAGAAAGGACGAGGTACAAGAGCTAAACAGAAAATTTCAAAGGTCAGCTAGAGAGGGCAAAGTCAAACATTACAACAAAATGTGCAAAGATCTGGAGTCAGAAAACCAAAAAGAAAGAACATGCTCAGTATTTCTCAAGCTGGGGGAACTGCAGAAAAAAATCAAGTCTCGACTTTCATTATTGAAGGAGTTTCTAGGCAAAGTACTGAATGATGCAGAAAGCATCAAGAGAAGATGGAATGAATATACAGAGTCACTGTACCAAAAGGAAATGGTTGATGCTCAACCATTTCAAGAGGCAGCATATGATCAAGAGCCAATGATAATGAAGGAAGAAATCCAAATTGTATTGAAAGAATTGGCAAAGAACAAGGCACCAGGAATTAACAGAATAAAAATTGAAATCTTTCAAGAAAGTGAGGCGGCAATGGAGGCACTTACCCATCTATGCCTAGAAAGTTGGAAAACATCTATCTGGCTAACTGATTGGAAGAGATTCATATTTCTGCCCATTCCAAAGAGAGGTATACCCAACAGAATGTGGAAATCATCGGACAATATCTTTGGTATCCCATACCAGTCAAGTTTTACTAAAGGTAATACAGAAACGACTACAATCATACATTCACAGAGAACTTCCAGAGGTTCAAGCTGGATTCAGAAGTGGATGTGGAATGAGGGTCATCTTTGCTGATGTCCAATGGATCTTAGCCGAAAGCAGTGAATACCAGAAGGATGTTTACCTGTGCTTCAATGACTACGCAAAGGCTTTCGATTATGTGGATCATGACAAGCTATGGACAACATTGCGAAGTATGAGTATTATGGAACACATACTTGGGCTCATGAAGAATCTGTTCATGGGCCAAGAGGCAGTTGTTCGAACACAACATGGGAACACTGAATGGCTTAAATTGAGAAAGGTGTATGACAGGGGTGTATTCTTTCACCATACTTATTCAACCTGTATGCTGAGCAAATAATCCGAGAAACTGCGCTCTAGAAGAAAAACATGGCATCAGGATTGGAGGAAGACTCATTAACAACCTGTGATATGCAGATGATACAACCTTGCTTGCTGATAGTGAAGAAGACTTAAAATATTTACTGAGGAAGATCAAAGAGTACAGCCTTCAGTATGGATTACATCTCAATGTAAAGGAAACAAAAATCCTCACCACTGGACCAATAAACAATAGTCTTATCAACAGAGAAAAGATTGACGTTGTCAAGGACTTCACTCTTCTTGGATCAACTATCAACATTCATGGAAGCAGTAGTCAAGAAATCAAACGACATATTGCATTAGGCAAATGTGCTGCACAAGACCTTTTTAAAGTGTTGAAGAGCAAAGATGTCAGCTTGAGGACTAAGGTGCACCTGACACAAGCCATGATATTTTTATAACATCATATGCATGCGAAAGCTGGACAATGAATAAGGAAGAATGTAGAAGAATTGATGCATTTGAATTATGGTGTTGGAGGAGAATATTTAAAGTGCCTTGGGCTGCCAAAAGAACCAACAGATCTGTGTTGGAAGAAGGGTAGCCAGAGTGCTCCTTGGAGGTCAGGATGGCCAAAACTTCGTCTTTCATACTTCAGACATGTTGTCAGGAGGGACCAGTCGCTGAAGAAGAATATCATGTTTGGTAAGGTGGAGGGTCAGAGAAAAAGAGGAAGACTCTCAGAGAGATGGATTGGCCAAGAGGCAGCATCAGTGGGCTGAAGCGTGGCAACAATTGTGAGGTTGGCCCATGACCGGGCAGGGTTTCATTGCGTTATGCATAGGGTCACTATGCGTAGGTACCAACTCGATGGCATCTAACAGCAACAACATCAACTGCATCTTTATGGGGTCCTGGTGTGGAGGGGTAGAATCAGCACTGGAATGTGAACCACAAGGTCATCGGTTCAAACCCACCAGTCACTCCTTGGAAACGTTATAAATACGGGTCACTTTGAGTCAGAACTGACTCGACAGTAGTTAATAACAATTACAACATTATTGCAATTTATAAGGAGCTTTTTATGTTTCTCGTGCTGCAGGATAATGCACTGGACCGCAAGGTTGATTTAAACCACAACGTTGGTGGTTCAAACTCACCAAACGCTCCTTGGAAACCCTTTACAGGGTCACTATGAGTTGGAACTGATTTGACGACACTTAACAACAACAACTAAGCTACAGGGCACCTAAAGTAAAGGGATTCCTTCTACTTTATATCTCTAGCTTGTATTTCTCTCCTAAGTTCCAGGTCACATATCCAATTGCTTATTCAACATCTCCTGATGTATGCCAAATATGCATAAAATGGGCCAACTGAACTACTATTCTTCCTACCTTGCAATAGCAAAAGGCTCCACTCTCTTCTTCATTCCTACAGTCACACTTACAACATCCTTCCCCCAGACCTCACATAACCCATCACAAAGCTCTGATGGCATTAGTTCAACAACATATACCAATTACTTCTCATCAGTTCCAATGCTATTACCCCATTCCAAGTCATCTGGTATCTCTCTCCTGGCACAATGACAGTCCAAGCTGACATCATTGTGTCCTCTAATCTTCCATCCCACAGGTCATCTTTCAAAAACAGCCAGAGTAAACTTTTTAAACCATATATCAAATCATGTCATTCTCTTGTTTTCAGTCCTCCCAATATGTTTCCAATACACCTAGATACTCACTGGTCTCCAAATACAGCCACTTACTTCTAATCTTAAAGCATGCCAAGTTCATCCACTGAAGGGCCTGTATATCAGATACAGCCTCTTTGATAATCACAGGGCTGCCTCCCTGTCATCTGATCAGGTTTCTGAAGGCTGTCCGCCAACAAGACTCGCTAAAGCAGTGTCCCCTCAGGAGCCTACCACGCCCACCCAACTACATCATACAAAATCTCTTTAAATCACTACTCCAGATCTGAAATTCTTCTGTTCATTTTAGTTTATATATTTACAGTCTGTCTCTTTCCTACCTCTCACCAGAAAGAAAATTCCTGGAGCCTGAGAGTCCCACCAGTCAGCTTCATTGCTGTTATCTGTTATACTGGGTTGCTAGAATGCTGCTGAAAATATAGATGGGACTCAGTAAGGATTTGCTGGTGAACTTATTGTTATTGTGTTGTTTATGAATCCATAGTAACTAATAACAGAAAACGTTCGATAATTGTTTGGCAAATAAAAGCAATTTGCAAACTGGAAGTTTCTCCATTATGTTCCTTTCATAACCAATTTCAATAAAAGATATAAATTTCCCAAAGCTAAATCCATACTTACAACCGAGCAATGGCTAGCTGATGCTGATTCATTCTTCTCTGGTAGCAGCAATAGTGACTTCATATTTTCACTGTCTGTATAATCCACAGGCCGACGACCAAATATGTTACTGGTAAAATAAACACAGATGGCCTTAAGTAAATAAATTGTGTGACTTGATTATTAATTAAATGAATGAACAAGTGCAACAATGTTTCAACTGCCTTTTTTTAATATGAAATTTTAACTAAAAGAAATAACTCAAAATCAGACACACAAGCTGTTGAATTCAATGGTCGGATGTGAAATTTTAATTTGAGAACAAACCATAACAGAATAATTTTAGTTTACAAAATACATTGAATATACTGTTACTTATACTGTTTAACAACTCTGTTTTCTTCTGTATTCATATTTATATTTTTAAACATGGCTTTATAATCATTAATTATCATGGACGGCATTCTTTCAATTGCAAATAAAAATCATCTACTATAGTCATTAGTGACCAATGATTTACTAATTGCAAATCCAGTGAAACAACATAAACAGTGACTATACACATGGAACTCAACAGATGGAATACACAGAAATCAAACTGACTACATCTGTAGAAAGAGACAGGGAAAAGCTACATCTCATCAACCAAAACAAGGCCAGGGACAGACTGTGTAACAGACCATCAAGTCCTTGAAGCTAAAGAAAATGGATTAATCCAAGTACAAGAGAGCCAAAATATGACCTTGAACATATCCCACCTGAAATCAGCAATCACCTCAAGAACAGATTTGATGCAGCAGACTCTAATGACCGAAGACCAGAAGAGTTCTGGGATCGCACCAAGGACATCATACAGGAAGAAAGCAAACAGTCATTAAGAAGAAGGAAAAGACCAAAATGGATGTCAGAAGAGACTCTAGAACTTACTCTCCACCTTGATTGATTTTTGACTGAATATGTGCTATGGAGTCTGTGCCGACTCACAGCCGACCCTGTTATAGGGTTTCCAAGGCTCTAAATCTTTACGGGAACAGAAAGCCTCATCTTTCTCCATGGAACAGCTGGTCGTTTTGAACTGCTGACCTTGAGGTTATTAGCCAAAGTCGTGCCACGATGCTACCAGAGCTCCTTGCTTTCCAGCATAGAGATGCTAGAGCAAATGGATGAAATGAGGAGGTAAAAGAACTGACCAGAAAAAAGTCAACTTTGAGTTGCAATAGTGAAGGATTCTACGGAAAACATAATAAATGATGCAGAAAGCATCAAAAGAAAATGGAAAGAATACACAGTCACTGTAACAAAAAGAAATGGTCAAATGTTCAACCATTTCAAAAGGGAGCACATGATCAAAAGTCAATGACACTGAAGGAAAAAGTCCAGGTGTTCTGAACTGGCAAAGAACAAAGATCCGGGTATTGATGGAATCAAAAATGAAATCTTTCAACAAACTAATTCAACACTCGAGCTATTCACTTATCTATGTCAAGAAAGTTGGTCAACTGACTAGAAGAGATACTTATTTGCATCCATTCCAAAGAGAATCAACACAAAAGAATGTGGAAATCATTGGACAATATCACTAATGTCACCTGCAAGTAAAATTCTGCTTAAGTTAACTTAAAATGAAAGGAAAAAAGTGATAGGGAACTGACAGAGGTTCAAGTAGAATTCAAATGAGAACATGGAACAAGGGATATCAGCACTGACGCAGATGGATCTTGGCTGAAAGCAGAGCATACCAGAAAGATGCTTACCTGTGTTTTATTGAGTATGCAAATGCTTGACTGTATGGATCATGAAAAGCTATAGATAACATCGCAAAGAATGGGCACTTAAGAACATTTAATTGTGCTCATGAGGAAGCTGTACATAGACAAGAAGCAATCATTTAAACAGTACATGAAAACACTGAATGGTTTAAATTGAGGTAAGGTATATGCCAGCGTTGTTATATTCTTTCAGAATACTTATTCAATATGTATCCTGAACAAATAATTCAAGAAGCTGGATTATACAAAGAAGAATATGGCATCTGGATCAGAGGAAGACTCGTTAAGGAGTTCTGGTAGCGTAGTGGTTACGAATCAGGCTGCGAACCTTAAGGTCAGTGGTTCAAAACTACCAGCCGCTCTGCAGGAGAAAGATGAGGCTTTCTACTCCCGTAAAGATTTACACCCTCGGAAACCCTGTACAGGGTCGCTATGGGTCGGAACCGACTCGATGGCACTTAACAACAACAACATATGCAGGTGATACAACCTTGTTTGCTGAAAACGAAGATCAAAAACCACAGCCCTTGATATGCATTGCACCTCAATGTAAAGAAAATAAAAAACCTCACCATGGGACCAATACACAGCACCATGATCAATGGAGAAAAGACTGACATTGTCAAAGACTTCATTTTGCTTGGATCCACTCACGGAAGCAGTAGTCAAGAAATCAAACGTATTGCATTAGGAAATCTGCTGCATGAGACTTCTTTAAAATATTGAAGATCAAATGTGTCAGCTTGAAGACTACTGTGCACCTGAACCAAGCCATGATATTTCCCACAGCCTCAAGGAGCTCTGGTAGTGTAGTGGTTATGAACTGGGTTGCTAACTTCAAGGTTGGCATTTCAAAACTACCAGCTGTTCCATGGGAGAATGATGAGGCTTTCTGCTCCCGTAAAGATTTGTAGCCTCGGAAACCCTGTGCAGGGTCACTATGAGTGGGAACCGACCCTGCAGTACTTAACAACAACAACATATGCATGTGAAAGTTGGACAGTGAATAAGAAAGATCATAGAACTGACGTATTTGAGTTATGGTGTTGGAGAAGAATAGTATAAGTACCATGAACTATAAGAAGGACAAACAAATCTGTGTCAAGAGAAGTACAGTCAGGACGGCCAGACTTCGTCTCTCATACTTACTTCGGACATATTATCAGGATGCACAGTCCCTATAAAACAACATCATGTTTGATAAAGTGGAGAGTCACTCAAAAAGTGGCAGACCCCTAAACGAGATGAAATGGCACACTGGTAGCAGCAATGGGCTCCAGTGTGACAACTGTGAGGATGATGAAGGACTGGGCAGTGATTTGTTGTGTTGGGCATAGGGTTGCTATGAGTTGGGACCGACTTGGTGGCACCTGACAACAATACCAACAGAGTCATTATGGACTCACAAGTTTATATAATCAAAGATAGGCATTTGGATCCACCAGAAGGAAAACCACACATGACAGACAATTTAATAATGAACAAAATGAGAAAAAAAAAAACACAGAAAGACTCCAGTGACTTAAAGATGACCTTTTCTTTGTTTTCATCATTAGTCTTTCAAGGATAAGAGCAAGTTTAAGGTTACTTTCCCAGTCTCTTACATATGGCTTATAAATTATTAGATGATGGCAGTAAGGTTTCAAAAGTGAGCATATTTCTTTTTATAATCTTTTCTGATTTTTAAAATTATGGTATAGCCATACAATGAACACTAATGTTCATATGAAAATGCCATTTGTAAGCAATACATAAAATAATATATAGTACACTACTAATTTTATAAATTGTATTTCATGAACATAAAAATGACCTGGGAAAACAGAGTGAAACATTAGGAGAGGAAGGAAGGTGTCAGCTCAGTCTGACGCTACCTCTAAGTCACAACGGTGAGGTCCTAAGCATCCACTAGGTTTAGAGACAAAGCTGTTAATGATCTTAGTAAAAGAGGTTTTGAAGGCATAGTGGGAGAAGCAGCCTACGAGAAAGACTAAGAAATGAACCAATGTTTCCGAATGACTGCTTTTCATGACTTTCATATTTAGTCTCTCTTTCTTCTTTGGACCCCAAAATCAACCAAATCCATTGGTGTACTAGATAAACATAGACACTTTTGTATTCTTATAGTCCCCTTAATGCCCAAATGGATTCCTCTGGCAATTAAAAAAAAAAAAAAAAGTCTTTGTCCAGTCAAGTGTCAATACAGTCAACTGTATTTGAGTTTTCTGATTTACAAGTCATTATGGTAGAATTTAGATCTTCCTAAATTTCCACATAATTCAAGCAAGTCATCTCATAGGTTATTTCAAAAGGTAGCCGATCTCATCCACCGTACTTGATAAGTGCCAATCTCATCTTTGAAATAATTATGTCCACAAACCAAGTAACCAACCTGCTATCACAAATATGCCATCAAATGACAATCAAAAATAAAAATTTCAGTTGAAGAACCAATATTCTAGACTACAGATAACCAAGTGTAAACTGAGCAAACACATCTACCATGACAACAAAAAAGCATGGCACATACAAATATTTTTTAACTAAGACAAACTCAGATAGCATATCTTAAAGGAACAGAAAGTATAAGTCTGCCAAACACTTGAATGCACTGTAACTGGAAGACATGGCGTAGTTAGTTTACTATAACACTACAAATAAAAGTCTACTTTGACAACATGAGGACTCCTGGTGTGGTGCTATAGGATAAGCACTAGACTGCAACGTGGTTTTAACCGCAGGGCCACCAGTCCCTCCTCGGAAACCCTATACAGGGTCACTATGAGTCAGTACCGACTTGACAGTACTTAACAATGCCAACATGAAATACTGTTAAGTGAAAGAGTACTTCTTAAAGAATTGTATTAGCTACACACTGCACTGTACAATAAAAATAAGCAATAAAACAATAGTGGGAAACAATAGTGGGAACCAATAAGAAGCTTCATCTTCTAAAAACTTCTTTATAAAATAATTAATCACAACCACTCATTGACACTGAGTCGGGTCAAGTTCACAGCAACCCTGTGTAGGGTCAAAGCATCATCTTTCTGCCATGGATGCAGCTAATGGATTTGAACAGCTGACTTTGTGGTTGTTAAGTACCTTTGAGTTGGTTCCAACCCACAGCGACACTGTATAGTTTCCGAGGAACAGGTGGTAAGCTTGAACCACTGACCTGGAAGTTCAAACTGACTGTGTAGTCCAGCGCATTAACCCACCGCACCACACCAGGACTCCACCTTGTGTGTCTCAGCCCATTATTTACCCTAACAATGCCATCAAGGCAGACTACACGAAGTCCACTTGATATTTAGGGTATTTATGCAAAGCAACTATGTCACATGGCTTTTTTACATGT